TGGTTTTTTTTAACGCTAAAACTGTTTATAAAAAGTTTTTGTTTTTCAATAATATCATTGATTGAATATGAATTTTTTGAGTGCTTGAAAACTTTTGTAAAGTGCTTGAAAAGTTTTTAAAAAGTGCTTATTTTTGATTCAGAGATTTGGCTACGCACCCTGATTGAGACGATTTTGCGTCTGCATCGTTCTGAGATAATTTATTATTATTTTTTGTTTTGAAAAGCTTCTTTTCCCTGAAGCCACAGTGACTGGCAATGTAAGTAGGATTCTCAATGCTATGCTGAGGTTTGGTGCGAATTTAAGTGTAGCGATAAACTTGAGAACTTCAACGGGGTTTTCCTTTCTTGTTATTAATGACGAAACAATGCTTATTTCATCAGCTAGTTCCAGGGCGTTAAGATAGCTTGAATTTCCATCAGTTAAAACTACTTCCAAATCTTTGCAATGAGCCAGTAGCTCATTTCTGGGCACGTCTTTTAGACCAAAAATATTATACAAAGAGCTGAAATAATTACTGTGAGTATTTAGCAAATTATATGTGGTTTCCAAGGCATTTATAGCTTGATCTATAGTGTGAAAAAAAATCTATTTTATATTTTTGTTTGAGGTCTTGAACGGGTTCATCCGGGCCCTCATACAAAAACGCTCTTGTTTTGCTTCTGACACGATGACGTGGTGTGGTGGTTTCGAAATTAGCTTTCACGTCAATCTCTGAAGCAAGCTCGGTTGCTTCTAAAATGATGCTTTCAAAAGTTTCATTTGATCTCAGGTTTTCGAAGAAGAGTTTGCAGTTGCTAAGCATATCAATAGCTTGTGACATGTCAAAATTTACAGTTTGCAAAAGTTTGCTGATGGGGTTAATGTGACTCAAAATTTTGTACCAGATCACAACAGAGCATATAAATTTGAACTGCTTCAAATTATTTAATAATCAGCTAGCCTCGTCTCTGATCATATTATCGATTTCTGAATCTTCATATATGCTGTACAAAGCATCTTGAATTGGGCCAATTTGAAACCGCAGAGCTTTTAATGAGTTAACTCGACTTTCCCATCGCGTATCACTCAATGGTTTTAGGGTGTAAGTATCAATATATTTCCGTAATATTGCCCAACAAAAAGAAGAGAAAGAAAAAAATGTGTATAACTTTTGAAAAATATTGAAGACTGCTGCATGGAACATAAAATGCTCCGGGGTTTATATTTCTGATTCTTGTTTGTACTCCCGATTTTTCTCCTCTCATATTGGAACCATTGTCATACCCTTGACCGCGCATGTTTTCGACTTTAAGTCTATTTTTCTCTAACAGTTACTGTTCTAGCTCAACCGTTAATCCGGCTGTATGTGAAGATGCATTGTCATGGTGAAGCATTAGTTCCTTACCATACAGCACATTGACTTCGTTATGACATCCTAAAGTTGTCATCTTCAGGATTCTGCGACTTCCAGAGGAAGTCCTACATTTACCGCTAAATGTCCTACGGATGTCATCTGCGTGTTAGAATGTCCCACCTGCAGATATCTTAATGATGTCATAACTAGGACAGTTTCAGGATACCTTTAGAACGTTTTAGGATGGCATTAGGACGAAAAAAGACCAGTTTAGTAAGGATTTAGATAACTTATAGGAGGTATGTCGGAATAGGTATGATAGTAATAGGAGGGTGTCTTATTTTTGTTATAAATTTCATCTCTGAAATTTTTATTCATATTGGTGACTTAAATACTTTGTGAAAAGATTTTTCTTTTAAATTTACTGAACTAGAGGTTAGAAAAATGTTTTCTAAATGAAAAAAAAAGGGTGATACTTTCTAATTTATATTACATTCTATCTCGATTGGCATTACTAATTTTCCTAGAAAAATGGGCTATTCCTCAACTATTTTTTTAGAAAACTTAGTAACGCAAAAGAAAGTAAAACAGTAAAAAAAAAAAAAAAACTTATCTAAAGAAAAGAATAATATATAATTTTAATCCAAAAATATGCAAGTTTATTGGATTTCACATTTCTATTGTTTGGAATAAAAACTTGGCCATTATTATAAATTCTAATTAAATGTACCCTTCGAACACCAAGCAAGGTTATAAGTCTCTCACTTAGCGTTAGTTTTCTTCAAAGAATATTTCTACTTTAATTATGAGTCCTGTTGAATCTTTCGTGAACCTTGTAATTCACGATTGCTTCATTATTGCTCATATTGTTTAATGTAGTAGATATATTAAAGATCTTATATAATAATGAATAATTTTGTTTTTAACGTTGATCTTAATACTGAGAACTTTGGATTAATATATAAGTTACTCGTATTATCAATTGTTACTATTATACCGGCAAAAATTTTTTTGACTGCATTCATCTGCAAAATTTACTAAAAAACATTTTATATTTTACATAGTTTAAATGAAGTTGTGACTATTTTATTAAAAACTCAACATAGATGTTTACGGATCACATACTTTATTGTGTCAATGATGGAATTTAAAAAACAAATAAAACTAGAAAATTATCTGCTTTTATATACAAACTAAAACAGCTGTTGGCATGTTTTGCTGCAGAATTGTTAGCTGAAGGCATTCCTCAATCAGTATCTTGTGAAGATATTAAAAATGATAACTTGTTTTAAGGATTTATGCATTTTTTGCAGCATAAATTTCATGTATGCAAATAAATATGAGAATAGAAAAAAAAAACAATATTAGAATCACATAAATAAAACTTTTATTTATGCAATTATTTCTTAAATTTTTTTTCAGAGTACAATCTTCTCTCTTTAGCATGGCGCAACCAGCCTTTAATAACATTTTCTACTTCATTCACTTTAGTGCTAGGGAAAACACTGCAAACAGCCTCTAAAACAAAACAAAAAGAAAATATAAACAAACCAGTAGGTAGTTTTATGAATAAACAGAAAATTATTTCAGAACCTATTTAAAAGGTATCTAAAAGTAAATTAGTAGAAGCCCAAATTTCTGTCACTCTCAGGACCAGAGATACGTAGGAAAAATTTTATCGGGTTACCTTTTTAAGCTGCTTTTTTAATTGCCCATCATACGTAAAATAAAATGATTTCATTCATTGTCACAAGAATAATCTAGTAACAACAACTAATAATGATAAAGCTGTTAATACAAACACATGTAAGAATGATCAGAATATTTTAAAGTGCAAGTCAAAAGAAGAGTTGGATAACTGAAGTATCGTATGATTACCGTACTACTGTGACTGAACAAGAAGATGGCGATACTAATAACAAAATTATTTCAAACAATTACACACTTTATAAATTATTCCAAACACAGTATAAACTCATTGAAAATTCATGGAATACTAAAATTATAGTATATTAAAAAGTAAAAAAAAAAGCTGTTTATAGATGTTTATTTNCATCAACTGTAATAATGATAAAGCTGTTAGTACAAACACATGTAAGAATGATCAGAATATTTTAAAGTGCAAGTCAAAAGGAGAGTTGGATAACTGAAGTATCGTATGATTACCGTATTACTGTGACTGGAAAAGAAGATGGCGATACTAATAACAAAATTATTTCAAACAATTACACACTTTATAAACTCATTGAAAATTCATGGAATACTAAAATTATAGTATATTAAAAAGTAAAAAAAAAGCTGTTCATAGATATTTATTTGAAAACTAAATTTAATAATAATACCATTTAAATGGGTATAGATACTTTTAGTAATAAGATTCATTTTCTAGAAGGCAACTTTAGCAACACAAATTTTAACTATATACTGTCAAACTACAAATGTAATAAATGAATTTATCTATATATATAAACAGTGATTAAATATTACCAATAATTGCGCCTGACACTCTGCAACTAAAAAATCTTTTTTTTTCTTTTCCGTATTTTCCCACCTAGCTGTACAGTTCAGCAACATCGTCAGGCATGAGGTGACGAAGTGCTCGTCTTGTATGGTCTTTGAAATCATTTCCACCAAGACTTTGCAATCTAGCAGACTATAAGAAGAAGAAAAAATTATTAAAATTAAAAAATGGATCACCTTATACCTTAAGTTTAGAAAATAATTAATCTATTCATTATATTAAAAATACTTAAAAGCAAATCTGCTGATTATATATTAAGTTATAAATTAATTAAAGGAAGTTTGTAAAAACTCTCCGCTTGAATTTTTATCATTGGGGAGAAAATTTTCTATAACTTTAAATGCTAGAGAAAATATGATCATATAAAGGTTTTCACTTTTAGCTTAAAAAATTAATTACCAATTCAGCCTTTAATTCCAAATTATCCAGCAAAGAATTAAGCTTTATAAATTCACCGTCACATTTTACTGGAATCCCAAGGTCAAATCTTTGATGAATTTGAAAAAAATTGAAGGTTACTAATAAATTCAAGATGAAGTGTGTTGCTCACGTCTTAATTCAAAATAAACCCGTTATCATGATCTCATAAGAAAAAATAATTAATATTGAAGAATATTATCAAAGATTATATTTAAAAGCATTCTTTAACAACTTTTCAAACTAAGTCATTTAATTTATGGGGAATTCTATAAATATAATATACAGAAATTAAGTACGGAAATAAAATGAAAAAAAATTATGTAAGTATCTGAAACGAATAAGAAATTATACAAATAACAATATTTTAAAAAAGCGAATCGACATGTAAATGATACAATTATTGAAAATTTATTTTAAAGGAAACAAAATTTAATTTTGAAAATAGCTTATCGTAAATATCAACTGCATAAAAAGATTATGCAGTTATCTTTATCTCTATACAATTTGGGTTGTATGAAACTCGTAAATGAAAATAGAGAACCATACCATTACGAGAATCCATTTTTTGTAGAATAAGCTCTAACATTTCTCCTTTCTATTAAGCACACCTTCTGGGTGAGCTTAATAAGTTTAATTTCACGCAAAAGGGACCGTAGAACACCTATTACAAAAAACGAAAAAAATATTTTAAAAATTAAACTGTTTTTCTTTTATTTAAGACTATAAATGTGTCTTGTACTCTTTGATACATTGTGTGACATTTACCCCTTGGCTTGCTAAGTTTTTAAAAAATATTTTAGTTGATTTAACTTCATATAACTATATACACATCCTCCTAAAGAAATATTGATTAATAAATAATATGGAAGTAAGAAGTAGATTTCAATTAAGAGTTTGATATTTGTTGAAAGAAATAGCATAATTTTCTCTAATTTCTACATTATTATAAGCAAAACAATATTAATGAGCTCTCAAGTGATTCACTGTTCACAATGGAAGAATGGTTGATAAACTCACCAGTTGAGTAAATAGGAACATCAGCCACTGTATTAGATTGATCCATTGGAGAATCTAGGGAAAAGAAATACAATTAAGTCTTTTGTTTTTAAAAGCATGATGCAAATTTAGTGCCACAATCAATCAATCTGTTTAAAAAATATATATACATCTAAAAATTACATACAGAGCAATGACTAATAAATAGGTAAATTAAATGTTTGAAATATTGATTTAATTTTCATTAAAATATTAAAAACTTGTACATTAAAAGCAAAATAATTTTAAGCAGATAAACCTGAAAATAACTACTCACAATGAAGTGAATCAATGGAGAGAAAAAAAGCTTAAATTAAACGACCAATCAGTTCCTTCCTCCCATCTTTTTTTAAATTACTTTATTTTGCATCTAATTTTCTTGCACAGCTAAGTCATTACTGAAACATTCATTATGGAAGACTATAAACAAAATATAACTTACCAGGAAGGTTAAAAGGATCATCAGACATTCTCGAAGATTGAGTTCTAGGAGAATCCAAAAAATAATAAACTGATTGGTTAATGCATAATGATATGCAAACAAATTTCTTGACTTAATCCATTTTAAGCCAAGGATAGGAATTTTATAAAATGTGGTATTATTTTCTTCGTGTATTAGAGCAACTAACTGTTTGCTATGGAAGAATTCTTAAGAAGACACAAAATAGAACTTACAAGATGAGTTAAAAACATCAGTCCTTGTAAAAGGACGAGCTCTTGGAAAATCTAGAAAAAGACAAATATGTAAATACTAATTCAATGTTTTAAACACAATTATCAGATAAAAATGTTAACGAACTTTTAATAATGGAGAAAATATGTAGATCAACTACAATTAAGTTTTATATGCCTATTAAGCTCTAAATATTTTATCTTATAAAATCATTGAATATTTTTTTTAACTCCTTCAAAAAATACATATTATGAAACACAAGATACCAGAAGTTTTAATTCTGAAAAAAAAGTAAACTAAGAATTAAAATGTTAACACATATATTTAAACCAGCTTCACATAGCAAGAGGCGAATGATGACAAATACAGGGTGTCTATAAAAGAACTCCGGGGTTTTGTGGCAAAATATTTTAATGAAATAAAAAACATACATACATGTTTTATACATGACTGAAAAGCTCACATTTTCAAGTTTTTTTTAACATTTAGTAAAGTTCTATATGAGCCCCGTTAGTGGCACGGCAGACGTCTAAACGGTATTCTACCTCTTCCCGTGTCTGGGGGGACGGTTGCCACACAATTGACTATTCGTTCCCTGCATACACAAGATTCTTGATATGCCCCCAGAAGAAAGAATCCAACGGAGTCAGATCAGGGCTCCTTGGAGGCCATGGAATAGGTCCCTCCCTTCCGATCCACCTGTTGCCGAGCCGAGCGTCCAATGCCTCACGCACACGTAAACTGAAGTGTGGCGGGGCCCCATCTTGTTGAAAGTAAACTATACCCTTCTCCGCCTCAATGTCATCTAACTGAGGAAAAAGATACTCCTCCAACATATCACAGTAGACATCACCTTTGATATTTCTTTCAATAAAAATAAACGGACCTATGATTCTGTCATGCATAAGCGCACACCAAACATTTACTTTGGGCGTGTCGCATTCGTACTCGACGAACTCATGGGGCGGCTCAGAACCCCAAATTCTGCAATTATGCCGGTTTACGTGACCATTCACATGAAAAGAAGCTTCGTCACTAAAAATTACACTTTTTAAAAAACCATTATTGTCATCAATTTTATCTAGCATTGAAACAGCAAAGTCGTATCTCTTAACCTTGTCTGCTGGTTTGATGTGGTGTACAAGTTGAATCTTGTAAGCAGTTAAACGTAGTCTTTTATGAAGTACCTTACCGACAGTTGATCTTGGTAACCCCAACTCCAGGCTGCGTCTTGTCAACGATTTCTTAGGGCTTCGAAGGCATGAAGCTCGGATTCTGTCCACTTTCTCTTGAGACACACTCGGCCTACCCGGCGACTTTTGCTTCAAAACACTTCCTGTTTCCTTAAATGCACTGAACCATTGACGAATGGTTTTGTCAGAAGGCGGGNATTAGTCAATGGGTTATCTTAAAATATTTATTTGCGCAGGCGACTTTTTTTGGCGGTTTTCTGGACTATCGCCAAATATATAAACATTTATTGCGGCCCAATTTACCACCCAATTTTTTTAAAATTTTGTCTACCCCCCCTAATTCAAGGGTCTAGATTCCAAATATGTAAAAAAAAATATATGTTTATTCAGAGAAAGTACGTTTTTGTGTCTGATTTCGTAACTTAATTAATAGTTAGCACTAATTAATTAGCATATTTGAGGTCACCCCCAGGAACCATTAAGATTGACACTTAGTTCGTGAAAATCCGATCATTAGAACGAAAGTTATTCAGGGTGATTCGTTTTTTTTTTTTGCGGACTGTACATGTACATAATTAATACGGTCATTCTTATTTTTACGAGTGATATTTCTATGATATATACGAGTGATATTTCCATCTATGGGGGAAAAAATGAAGGGAGGTTTTCTACGCTCACGAGCATAAAAAAAAAAGTACGACTTTCTACGTGCAGAACCGTCGGTGGGTTAATTCCTCTTTCCTTAAAAATAAAGAAAAGAAAAAAGAGAAGGGGGGAATTCAAATTATTGTTAAAATATCTAGTTTGAAAAAATATCAAAATACAAGTATGAGATCACAAAAAAGCACAAGAAAAATACAAAAATCGAAAAACCCTTTGCTCCCCCAAAAAACTACTTTAATCTTTTTTTTTTAAAAAAAAAGAAACTTTTATTCGTTTTCTATTTCCCCTTATTCCAATTTAACTATTAAAATCAAATAAAAGGAAGAAATAAAAGCAATTTACAATGATAAAGTTGAAAAATTGTTAAAAAACACTCAGAAATTTAAAGTTTTAATTCAGTATTGATTAAAGTTTTATTAATATAGAGAGAAAAAAAAAGAAAAAATTTTTTTAATTGATTACTTCATGAAGTTTGTAAAAATTATCTAAAAATTAAAAATCGAAGCAGAAAAGTTTCACTGTAAAAGATATTATAATTACTTGGCTTGGTTTATTTAATGATTTCTCCTCCTTTATATGAATCTTTTAGTGGAAGGTTGTGGAAATCTGGAAAAGTTTTTAGGGTTTGCTGCTAATAACGGAGCCTTAAAGATGTTGATGTAGAGGTATTATTTTTTGACGTTGTGACCACTTCTTTATCCTTTCAGGAGGAAGTTTTTTCTTTCTTTTTTTTTGGAATTCCTAGATTACCGGATAAATACTTTTGGGTTTGATGTATTGGAAAATTAGCTGTGGAACTTGAATGGTTAATTTGCACATCAATGTAGAAAAATAAAACAGGGAGAGAATTGAAGATAATATCGTTGTTTTTGCAGTGGTATTGAATGGATTATAATGAAAAGATTGATAATATAATTCGCTAGTTCATTTTTGTTTAGTAATGTTTAGTTCATTTTTGTAGGATGGGCAATTTTTATCTGTTGGAGGATGATTGTGGCAAAATATTTTATCAAGATGAAGGTTGGCGTATTAGCTGTTTACGCAAGATGGATGACATTGTTCTTATGGATTATGAGATATGCTGCAAATCTTGCATACTGTGTTTTTATTACATTGATATGATTGATGACCCAGTTCTTGACAGTTTGTACATTTTTTAACTGTTATTCTCTTCCGTATGGTGATTTTGTTTAATCCTTGGTAATAGTGCTTTTTCTTTAGTAGATATATTGCCAATGGAATTGTTTCTGTTATTATGATGTGTTTTAGGTTGTCCTTTGTTTTATGTTGTATTTCAAAAAGAGAGTCAATTTCGTCACTTTCATCCCGGAATTCTCCAATATATTTAAGTTCGTTTATTATTTCCTCTTTTGTGTAGTATGTGGGAACATTGAAGAGGATCAAATGCATTCTTCTTCTTTGTTTCGGAATTGAATTTCTTGGGTTTCGAATAGTTTTGTTGTTTTCCATTTCTCCTCATTATCTTTGAGTTTAAGTTCAATTATTTTATAATTTTGATAAACTTTTTTTATTTTTGGTCTATCCTCGGAATGTTCTACGATGCTCTTACCTTTCCGTTGTTATCTCCTGTATCTAGGGACAGTTAGAATCCGAAGGGAACCGACCACATGGCTTTACGCCTAACAGCGTCACACAAGGATCACCGTTCGTTTGCAGGGGTGCGTAGGCACCCGCAGGACACCACTACACACGACACCAAGCACGCAGGCATAGGCTTAGTCGAACCAACGCGGCGCTTTCGCCGAGCTGCTTGCCCGATTACTGTCCTGCGCTGACACAAAGATTGTATAAGTGTAAAGACGGGAAACTCGCGAAAGTCTTAACAAAATTTGGCACAATGCCAGCGCTTCGTGTACGGCGGAGAAGTTTGTCTCTAGGGGCACAGTGCAGCGCATGCGCATTATCATCCTTAGTTTTGGAAGGAGAGTTTGGAGAGAGAAGCACATGAGAAATCAATCAATGGCGGACGTTAATTTGACAATTATCCCTAACAAGTAAGTGCGCTTTGTATAACCTATCTTCTGTTGATTTTTTTCTCCTTGTTTTCAATTTTGATAAAGATTCTANGGGACAGTAAGAATCCGAAGGGAACCGACCACATGGCTTTACGCCTAACGGCGTCACACAAGGATCACCGTTCGTTTGCAGGGGTGCGTAGGCACCCACAGGACACCTCTACACACGACACCAAGCACGCAGGTGCGGGCTTTCGCCGAGCTGCTAGCCCGGTTACTGTCCTGCGCTGACACGCGCCATACGTTTCGAGCACAATGCTCGAGGAATCGTTGGAATTTCACACATAATTGGTGTATGAAAAACGCGGATGCGAGATGACCAAAAGCACATTCTTCCAAATTCTTTCGAACACGAGAGAGTCTAGAATTATATCCAAATTTCTGTTGATTTAAACCTTTTTTAGGATAAGGCAGCTAAGATTTTTTTTTCCAACGGAATAACCTCATCACCAACAAAAAAGTAAGGGAAATTAAATTTTTCAGTATCATTCGGTAATGCACATCCAGCTGGTATTTCTGATGTTCCACCTTGAAAATGCTGTCCAAGAATCGAATTCGTTAATAGTATTCCTCTAACACTGTTTTGTCAATAATTACCAACAACAATGATGGAGAACTTTTGTATTCGCCACAGCAAGAAGAGTAATTGGAAAAAGAATACAAATGCAGTGAAGCATCGTTTAAAAAACCACCGAAAAACGACTTTCACTTAACTTTGTTTACAGTAAATTTTAATGTTTAACGTGCTGATTTACATAAATTTCTAAATTAAACAAAGTAAATCAAAGAAGAAAATTACAGTAAACAATTTGAATGTACGTTACCTTTTATTTATTCGTTTGATATTTCAATTTTTTTCACTTTAATTATTTCACGTTAAGTTTACAGAAAAAATTATCGATAGTTGTTTGCCGTAATGATTGACTTTTGAGCTGTAATTAATGACTTGTG